GTGGGGGGGGGGGGGGGGGTGAATGACGCAGGGGGTGGGGTCGAGGGAGACTATTGCAGGGAAGGCATACTAGGCGGCGCTTTCAGCGAGAAGATGATGGCAGCACGCTGGAAGTTCACCAAAGTCTGGCGTCGCACCTCCCGGAGTTCTCGTTGTCGTTGACGTTGTACATGTGGGTGCAGTTACCTCCACAGATAAGTTTTTGATACCTTGCCCCCGCGACACCCGGTGACCGTTCTGTCACGGCTTACCTTAGCGACACCCTCCTGCCTGGCGCGAATGAAGGTTTGAGCATTGTTGTAGCTACATCGCTCCGTTTGGATCCACCTATGACAGCATTTTCGTATTATCGTCTCGGTGCCCACGTAAATACGCTCATCATGCGCGTGTCTAATCACGGCTAACCATGGCTAACCATGGAGGACGCCATGGAGACCAAGGTTGACCCTGGAGAACACCATGAAGACCACGAAGATGTTAATGGTTAGTCATGGAGAACACCATGGAGGCCATGGTTAACCGCGGAGAACACCGTGGAGACCATGGGTAACACGGAGATCTCCATGGCGAACCATGAAGAATCGCCATGGGTAACCATGGAGAATCACCATGGTTTCTATGGGTATCCCCGTGTATTCACACAACAAACTACACCCGACATATAATATTGTAGTGAACATCTGCTGCTCACTTTTAAGGGAACATGACGAGCTGACCAAGTACGCCAAGTACATGCGCGACGCGTCAACATTCGCATGCACGACATGCGGGAAACATTCATGAAGATAAAGGGACGAATTTTGGGTGGTCTGATGGGATGTACGCGGTAGTATGTGCACCTTCGCTGGCCATGGCTATCCAACGATAGGGTGCGACCACATGAGGTGTGCGGGTGAATGGCCTTGGCGAACGGGTGAACAACTTGGATCGGGTACACACATGGGGCTCACCAGGGGGACTGTCTTTATCCACGGATAACCAAGGAGATCTCCATGGTTAATGATGATCATCATGACGATGGTTATCCGTTGAGGTATCCATGGTTAACCATGGACAGAATATCGATGATGCATATGAGTGAATAAAATGATCCTCGCCATGGAGACAGCATACTACCATAGGAATAAGGGTAGTCTCATGGACCGAACGTAATGATCGACCAATCGGGATTTTGAGGCAGTCGGGATGGTTGACCAATGAGACTGGACCTATCGGGATGTTAGAGCAATCGGGATGATGAAAAAGTCGGGAGGATGGACCAATCGCGACATGATTGGGCAGTCGAGGTGTCGAGTTGCTGTACCATTGACCAATGGGGATGAGAGACCAATCGAGATGTGAACTATTTAGAGATGATCGGCCAAT